GGGCGCCAGATGAAGGCGTAAGTCACGAACAAGGCAACACCAGTTTGGAGTTATGATTAATAGGGTGTTATTTATTTAAAGGGGAAAAAACTTACAGATCACAATCCCAGACAACAGCCATCTGCGCAACCAGGAAGGGAGTCTAGTCTCCAGCCGAGCAGGAAGAGAAGAGTGCGAGCAGAGGAAATAGCCGCTTTTTTAAAGGGAGTGAGACCACGCCCCAATGGGCTGGTATTACAGCAGCTATTGGTTGGAGGGGCGGAAAGACCTCCCGCAACACTGTATGACCATAGGTTTGCAACTCTCCATTGGAGCCTGGCGGGCTCACCAGAGGGGCTTTCAGTAGGTACCACTCCCAGAATCTTCAGTGGTGTAAGAGGTCCTTTTGTTTATGTGTTGCTTTCATTGGTTAATCAATAAAGAAACTGCCTGGCCTGATAGGGCAGAACTTAGGTAGGCAGAGAAGACAGAAATGAATTCTGGGAGGAAGAAAGCAAAGTCAGAGAGAGAGCCGCCATGGAGCTGCCAAGTCAGATATGATGAATCTTTCCTGGTAAGCCACGACCTCGTGGTGGCATACCAATTACTAGAAATGGGTTAAATCAAAATATGAGAGTTAGCCAATAAGAGGCTAGAACTAATGGGCCAGGCAGTATTTTAATTAATAAAATTTCTGTGTGGTTATTTTGGGTATAAGTTAGCCGGATGGCTGGGACTACAAGCAGCCTGCTCGCTCCTGTTACAAAACAAAGGGACCTGTTCCTCATGTTACATTTCAGTACCTAATAGTTCAGTAGGGAAAAGTAGGGTCCCATAAGTCCTACCCTATCTATCAATGACTGGCTCTTGGCAGGGACAGTCCTGTGTAGGCCAGTGGTTATGAGTTCGTAATGCAATGGCTATGGTGTGCCAAGAAGAGGGTATTTTCTGTCCCTTACCTTCTTTCTGGCTTCTCTTATGTCCTGTTTTCTAAATGGCTGAGAGTAACTTTCAGCATACCAGAATGACCTACATGAATGCAGACGCTTATAGAGCCAGAGTTCATGGTTGCCAGCCAGTGGGTGTAGGTGCTGGGAACTGAACTCAGGTCCTCTGGAAGAGCAGTGTGTGCTGTTAAACACGGAGTCATCTCTCCAGTTCATTATTTCCTGGTTGCTGATAACTCTAAAAGAACATTATCTATGGCTTTCCATTCTCTTTTTTGCCGTTTTTTTCTTTCTTTTCCAGTTTTGAACACCGAATAACAAATTACACTTTATAGACGGCGTGGTGGAATACATCTGTAATCTTATGATTTGGGGACTGGAGGCAGACAAACAGGCATTAAAGGCCAGCTTCGGGTATAGTGAGACTGAAGATAGCTAAACAACATGAGGCCCTGTTTCAAAAAACAAAAGAACTCAAAACAAAAAGCCTCAAACAAGCCCAAATTACATTTTGATGTTTGTCTTTTATATAATTTCAGAGAACCAGAACCATCATTTAAAACCAATACTTTTATATTTTAATATGAAATACCTTGCATATTTTATATAAGGAATCTTGTCCATCTCCTCCTGTGTCCTTGAAGTAGTCATGAGCTGGAAACGTGCGGTTAATATCTCTTGTGATAGCACTGTCTTGGGGAGACTCCTGTGGAAACAGAGAGGACCAGGAACATTCAGAAGAAAGGTATCTCTTTGGATTTATACCAAAGAGTACTGTAAGGTCAAACACATTCAAGCCCGTACTTACTGCCTCTTCCGGGACTAAGCCCTCAAAAGAAGTATAATGAGGGTGGGCAAGTTAGAAGAAAAGTGCCATTTCATTCCACATGCCTCATGCCACATCCCCTACGCAAGGTAAGAAGTGAGGCTAGTGACCTTCCTGTTGTATAAAGGAAGATAAGCTGCTAAAAAGTGCTTTCCCACAGAAAAACATTCAAATTACTTCAAAGGAGAAGGCAAAGTGCTTCTGATAGAAAAACGAAGTAGAAAAAGTAATGCTAATCACAGCGCATGCCCATTCCCAAATGGAGAAGGTCCAAGGCCCTGATTGTGCACTCCTTTCATGTGCAATGGAACTGGGGTTACAGACTGTTCTAAGCTACCATGTGGATGCTGGGAATGGAACCCAGGTCTTCTAGAAGAGTAGTCGGTGCTCTTAACCAATGAGCCATCTCTCCATCCATGGTCCAAGGCCCCTAACCTCCCCTCACAGTTTTCATCTATCTAGTGCTTTTCCTATTGACCAATGAAAATTCATATGCTGAATTTCTGAGGCCTGCAAAAACGATAACAAACTGGAGTCCCATGGGAACCACTGGCTTAAAATATTTGGTCTTACAAAATTTGCTGAGGAACTTGGAATGAATCCATTTGATTTAAAGTCCTCTCCTGAATTCTAATGATGACAAGTTTAATAAGTTCTTATCAGAATAATTATATTACAAATCTCACAAAATTCTAAAAACAATTCCTTGTCCTCAACAATGTGATCAGAGAGATTTGGGGACTGATTTTCAATGTACACACCTGCTGTTGTGAAGTATTTATACATGCTCAGCCCTCAGAACCACTGACAGACTGCCATTACTGGAATGTCCTTTAGAATACTTATCTTTCACATAGTAATTAATGCTAACAGTATTTGCTGCAATTTAAAAAGTCAATTCTTAATAACTGTATATTCTGTATGTTTCTATATATTCAAGTGTAGTAAGAGTTTAAATGAAATACTGTAAATAGTTGTATTTGTCTCTTGTACTTTAAGCAACAAAATAAGACAATATAAGTATCCCAGAAACTACACACATACATACCGACACATTAGGCTGGCTAAAATTAAAGCACCAAGTATTGGTGAGGTAATGCAACAACTGGATCTCTTACAAATAATGACAAGTCTATATACTATGCAGTCACTTCGGTGAACTATACAGCATACCCAGCATCTACAAGTTCATTTGCTAAGGAAATAAATAACAGCTACATGGAGAAATGAGTGACTCTAAAATTGAGTTGAAAAACATAGAAGATAAACCTGGACTATTTTGTAATGCCAGAAAATTGAGAAAGAAAACAAACAAACCAAATGCTTCTTTTATTATTACCACAAACCAAGCCAATCAACTGACAACAGTAATGCTATCAGCAACAAAATACCTTTATTGATGGAAGTATGTTGGAGGGATACTGACAGACAATGAAAAATGTTCCTAATGACTTAAGCCAAATAATTTAAGCAACAAAAGGATATGGTAATTATTAAGTTCTAGCCTTGAATGAGAGAAATATCCATGAGTCTCTAAATACAAAAATAAATGACGGATTAAATAAATAAATGGGGTAAAGAGATAAATCACCCAGGTAGAATTTCAAATAACTTATGTACACATATGTTGTCAAGGAAGTAAGAATGAACAATTTGCTCTGGAGGACTGCAGTACAGTGATGGAATGGGAGGTGCAGTACACAGCAAAGACCAGTATTAACAGTGAGAGTCATTCTACTAGCAGGCACTCTTCATGTTGTGAAAATGGCTTTTACTTTATATCTGCTCCCTTCAAATTCATAACTTCATGGGAAAAACACAAGACAACTTCTTGAAGGACATTATACAAAATGCTTGACCATTAGCTCCCACCATGGTGCTTGGTGTGGGTGTGAGAGTAGAGCTCTTTTCATTTTAAGGCTCCTTTAAAACAGTGTGTGGATTAAAATTTATTAGAGCATTGCCTGCTCTTCCGAAGGTCCTGAGTTCAATTCCCAGCAACCACATGGTAGCTCACAACCATCTGTAAAGGGGTCTGGTGCCCTCTTGTGGCCTGCAGGCATACACACAGACAGAATATTGTATACATAATAAATAAATAAATAAATATTTAAAAAATTTAAGGAAATTATAACACATAGTATTTTCTTGTCCTCAGGTCAAAATTATGTATTAGTTCAAGTCACAGAAGTCCTGTATAGTACTCTTTCTGGATATCTATTTTTATAGCTTACTGTGAGAACTGGATGACTGGGTAACTTCTCAGGATTAATAAGGTACTGGGAACTGGAGGATGTTCTTTGAATACATACTCTTTGTAAACTGGGGTTGAAAAATAGAAAGCTAATAATGGTAGGAAGAAATAGAAAGCTAACCCACACAAAAGAAATGCCATGGAAGGCTGCCATATGAAACAGGAGCAGAGAGAATTGGATTTCCCAAGTGGTTTGTTGCCCAAATAAAAAGTTCTCAAGAATAACTCCAAACATTACAAATGCCATAAAACTGTTTGTAACACTTAATAAAACAGAAAAGCACCCCACTCAAATACATTATTTATTCATGAGACAGGGTCTCACTACATAGTTCAGGCTGGCCTCAGTCTTCTGGGTGCTGAAGATTACAGGTGTGTGCCATCATACCTTGCCCATATCCTGTCTATGTGTTTTTATGAATGAAGTATATTGGTTACATTTCCTTGGTGTGTGTGTGTATGTGTACAGGTAACCATGTGGCACAACATGTATATGGAAGTCAGAAATCTGAGAGTCAGTTCTTTTTTTTCCTTTTTTTTTTTTAAAAAAAGATTTATTTATTTACTATGTATACAACATTCTGCCTCCATGTATACCCACACGCCAGAAGAGGGCGCCAGATCTCATACAGATGGTTGTGAGCCACCATGTGGTTGCTGGAAATTGAACTCAGGACCTCTGGAAGAGCAGCCAGTGCTTTTAACCTCTGAGCCACCTCTCCAGCCCCAGTTCTTGCTTTTTACACTGTTGAGGCAGAATCACTTATTTCTGCCACTACTGTGAACTTCAACCTAGCTGCTCTGCGCTGTAAGCTGATTCTGCTGTCTCCATCACCTCCCACATCACCACAGGAGCACTAAGATTACAGACTATTGCCTCCAGCTCTAAAAGTAGATTCTTGAGTATCTCACTCAGATCTCAGGCTATTGTAACAAATGCTGGTACCTGCTAAGCTGTTCCTTCAGTCTTGAACTCCTTTTCAAAAAGTCAGGTATAGCTTTTGTTTGTTTGAAACAGGGTTTCTTTGGGTAGCCCTGGCTGTCCTGGAACTGGATTTGTACAACAGGCTGGCCTCAAACTCACAGAGACCTACCTGCCTCTGCCTGAGTGCTGAGAGACCCGGTTGGATCCCCAGTACCCCATGGTGGCTCACAGCTGTCTGCTGTCTGTGACCATAGATAGTCACAGACATACAAGCATACACACCATCAGAAACACCAATGCATATCAGAATGAAAATAAATGTTCAAGATAAAAAACCCAGCACAGCAAGTATCCCCCTCCCCTTACACACACACACACAAGGTTGCTCTGTGTAGCTCTGGCTGTCCTGGAACTCGCTCTGTTGACCGGGCTGGCCTTGAACGCACAGAGATCCACCAGCCTCTGACTTCTGAGTGCTGGGATTAAAGGTGTCTGCCAACACTGCCTGGCTTAAGTGGATATCTTTAATTTCACTAAATCATATTTACTGAAATGTATTTAGGCCATAACTATCTTAGTCCTCACAGTAACATCTCACTAAGTTATGCCTGCAGAATGCTTTGAGACTGTTGACAGGAAGGGAGGGAGGGAAAAAGGGAAAGGACAAAATATAGCACTTGTTATAGGACCTTTACATTCATATAAGGATATTACTAATGCTCTGTAAAAACTGTCTTCTAAGAATTATAAATATTTCTGTTCCATGGAAAGTGATCCAGTGCCCACTATCTTTTCATTGTCAAAACAAGAATCCTAGAAATAAATGTTAACTAATGGGCTCATTTACTAATAATAAAAACTAAAAAACAAAACAAACACCTCCATTGATGACACGAGCTTTTAATACTTAACATATACCTTACGTAGCTACGCAATGCATGCTTATTGGTCCCTTCATGGCTGGCACTATCATTCTTTAAGTCCTTACTTGCCTTTCACCTGGGAACCATGGGATTTCTGCCCTTCAGTGTTATTCTTCCACACCAACAAATAGAGGGGATTTTTGCAGCGATCAAACATGATGGATAATAGAAACCAATTTGTTGATAGAGACTGCTTTTCACACATATTTTAGAAAACTGTTCCCTTAAAGGGGCTGGGGTGGGGGAACCCATGATGACAATAAAACCGTAAGAACTGAAAGTTAACAGCAGAATTTAAAAGCTGAACCAAAGGGAGACAGGAAATTGAGCTATACAGATTAAAAAATATAAAATACTTTACGGACACTCAGTAGTTAATGTTCCAGTTTCCCTTCCAAAGCTCCATTACACAAACCCAGAGCAGCCTGGAGATCCATTTCCATGACCACAGAGATCTCGAACTCACAGAGATCCGCCTGCCTCTGCCTCCCCAGTGCTGGGATTAAAGGCGTGCGCCACCACCGCCCGGCTCCTCACTGGGTTTATAAGAAGTAAAGAAACACTGTGTGGAAGGAAGTGGGAGGCATAGGCCTGGCACATCAGTAGTAACCCTTCCCACCAGATTTGAAATTGATGTTGTTGGCCTATTTCCAATCTTGGGGAAGAAGCCAAGAGAGAAAATATGTATTTGGCATGTTTTCCTGTTTGGGACTTAGTGCCTGGTCTGGGGAGGAGGAACTCTGTAAACAAACAGTAAGCAATTCGCTCACAGTCTATTGTATGTTATCAATAATATACTTCATTGTAATCAAATTAATTTATAAAGAAGACAAATAAGATGGAAAAACTGACTCTTAAAATATAAACGATAAGCCGGGCAGGAGGCAGAGGCAGGCGGATCTCTGTGAGTTCGAGGCCAGCCTGGTCTACAAGAGCTAGTTCCAGGACAGGCTCCAAAGCTACAGAGAAACCCTGTCTCGAAAAACTAAAATATATATATATATATATGATAGAGTAAGATTTTGTTTTTCCTTTTAGCCTATGAACTAGACTGACCCAAACACTGTAGAGCTCACAAAGAAATAATTGTGCGGGCTAGATTTGTTTTAAACCAGTCTTCAGCGCAGAGATCCATTTCCGATTTTCTATTCTCATGTCACATTTAGTGGGTTCTTCCATTTCAAGACAATGATTCAAATGTCTCTGCCTCTTCACTCGTTCCCAACACCCAATAAAGCAAACAATCATCCCCAAATATGGAACACAAAAAGATGGCCATATATGATGACCAGAGCCCTGCTTACAGAAACTAAACTCAGCAAGCCTGTTCTAGAAATGCCTACCAATGAGCATTTCTGATCTTTATGGATAGTTGAAACTACATCAACTGAATGGTTGTGTAAGCACCACACTGACAGTATGGTTCTATCTATGGCAGACAATGTAAGAGGAAAGTGGCCAACTCTCAGAAAAGATGGCTCCATACTTAAAGAAATAATGGACCACTGTCAAATTGTTTCAAACCAAATATGGCATTATAATGCTATTCTAAAAATAAATCTGAGTCCCTTGTGACATGTAGTCTTTTAGCTATGTCCATTTCCTTTTAGGGCTCAAGTTTCCCACAGGAAAACTGGCCAATGTCTGGCAAAACTGCCACAAATCATGTATAGATAAGGCATAAAAGCTAACAGCACTGCCAACCTTTTCCTGCTTGGCTATTATGAATTCTCCTGCATATGAATTCTCTCTCTTCTGGAGAGTCCAATGGCCAGACATGCTGAAACTATTACTGACAAAAGTGAGCAGGCAGAGTCATTCTGAGTAAAAGTGAGTGATGGTGAGGGTGGAAAGTCATGATTTAAATTGGGAGGCACAAAGTTATATGTAAAGTCATATTCTATACAAATGTAGACTTCTAAACGCTTGTTTCAATTTTATTTCTATCACCCAGCAAACTATACATCAAGTAAATACTCGCCTAGCAAAGTTAACAGCTTATCATTATTGTATTGTTGGATGTGTAAGCTTAAAAATCTTATAGAGCATCACGTTAAGAATGAAGTCCTGGGCCTGGTGTCACATTGCAGACCTTTGACTCTAGTACCAGGAGTCAGAGGTGTGTGTGTGTGGGGGGGGATGTCTTTGTGAGTTCCAGGCTAGCGAGGCCTATATAGTGAGTTTCAGGCAAGCTAAGAAGTTATTAAGTGATCTGCATCTCAAAACCAACCAACCAACCATCACCAACAATAAAATAACTAAATAACTTGGGTTCTGTGACAAAGTTGCTGCCAAGTGTGATGCCAGTTCAATTCCTTGGGGCTCACACAATAAAAGAGGAGAATTAACTCCTCCAGGCTGTTCTCTGACCACTATATTCCCACTCAGCCCCTACAAATACATACAATAACGTGCATAGTACATAACAAACATGAAGTCCTATATTCCTCAAGTTATGTTTTTATATAATCTAATCCACTCAGTTACAATTACTAAAATGTTTCTTTTATAACATTCAACAAATTATTTCAAAAAGTGTGTTTCCTCTTGAAATAATGTCTTTAGTCAAAGATTCGGGAGTGTGACAAGAGCTACACAGCTGTGAAGCTGTTGTATTCTTTGACGTGGAATCTCACAGTGCTACGCTAATTCCCTGCTCTGGAGCACTGTGTTACATGAGAATCTGATAAAGAAACAATGAACAGTACTGTTCACAGAACACCTCCAGCCTGCTGGGAACAGCATTCAGATCACACACGTGTATAGGCCGCCCGTGTCAGCATTTTAAAAATCATATACTTTTATATAGCTTTTAAGGAAAACTATGTTCTTGAGGTCAAATAAATAAAAATATCTTATTTAAGTGTTTGACTTTTCTGCTTTAGAATTAATCATGAAAGAATTGTCAAGAAACAACTCTTTAAATATTTAAAGGCTATTTTGTTTCATCACTGATATATGAAACTACTAACTCTACTCCATCGAGCTTGGTTAAGCAGGCTGGGGACCCATGTAGCTCCTTAGCTCTTGGGGTTACAGGCTGGGCGTCCAAACTCAAGCCCTCATGCTTGTGTAGTAAGCGCTTTACTTAGCAAGCCATAACCCCAGTCCCCAACATCCTTTTTTAAAGTATCATTAAAATGATACCTGTTTACTACATTTCTGCCCCAAATCTTCTTGGTTCTTACTGTAAGCCAGAATTTTCCAATGTACTACATGTACAACTCAATGTTCCCAAACAGACAGTATCAACCCTTCTGCAAAATATTTTCTAAAAGCAAGAAAAGATACATTAGACTTCAGTCCAAAGGAACTGCAGCAGAACATAAGAGCAGGACTTTAGGGATCTGAGGGTGTGTCGATTCTAGCAGAAGTATTTCACCAAACACATTTCCCACACACACAGGATGCAACAGTATCTCATTTTTAAATAAGTCTAATCAAGGAGCAATGTCCCATCTTATAAAATAGAAAACTCAGAGCCTCTAGTAATCTATTTCACAACCTTCTTTATCTGAGAAACAAAGAAGAATAACAAACACATTTAATTACATAAAATTATCCTGGTAATATGTTGATTGCGTTGGGTGGGTTACTCATGCTAGGGGTTGTAACCCACCCTGCAATCAGTTATTCCAGGGTCACGGAGGGGTACTATCTGGAAGAGAAATGGGCTAGGAAACAAGGAGGAGGCCATGCTAAGTTTGTCACAGCCTCCGTTTATTACGGACGGGTTACAGTTTATATAGGGTAAGGAATGGGGGGGGGGGCACAAGGGCCTGGACTCTTGTCACGTGGTCCAAGTCACGCAGGCCAGGAGATTACCTTAGGTCAGGTCCTGTAGGAGTTGACACACCTAGTTCCCTGGATAGCTGGAATGTGAGGCGGGTTCCCCTAACTGATAACAGCTAATTGGGTGTGGGGCAGGTTCTGTCAATAGAACGATTCTTAACATAATTATGGGTGTGGGGTTCTCTGCAGACTCCCCAGAGTGATGGTTCCTGTAATGATTTTTAGGAGGGAAATGGCTCCTCACAGTAATAAAAACTGCTTTCAGATTCTTACTGTCACCAGCCTCTGCCTCCCAAGTGCTGGGATTAAAGGCGTGCGCCACCACTGCCCGGCTGTAGAAAAGGTTTCAATTCCTCCATGTATGCTGCAAAAAAAAAAAAGGAAACTCTTAAAACTGAAAAAGGCTACCACTGGTGAGAGGCTCTCTGGGTAAGGCTGTTTGCTGCCAAGTCTGAGAACCTGAGATTCCTGGGATCCGTTGTGGGAAGAAAAACTGACTACTGCATGTTGTCCTCTGACCTCTATACTTGAACTGTAGTATTTGTATGTGTTGATGTGATGCACGCATGTGTACACACATGTATACACACAGATAATAAGCAGGCAAAGAAACATTTTCTTTTTAAAAGGGGGGGAGTATTTGAAGCAGATCCTGCTCCACAAGAACCAGCAAAGTAATGGCTTTCTTTTTGGGGAAAGAAATTTTAGAAATAAATTATTTCTATAAATAGTCTGTTACCAAATACTGCCTTGCCAATTCAATTCATTGATTGAATTTTAAATTTTACTTTTGTATTTTGAACAGATACAATAGAAGAATTCCTTTGTAAACAAGTCACTAAGTTTATCATTACATGATTACAAAAGAACAATCTTTTATTTCTTTTAACCTACAGAGGGTTTTCTCATGCCATATATACTAGTTGGTAAATTGTAGATCAACTTACTGGGGTCTTACTGACTTCTGTATTTCCTTAATCTTGCCCATCTGGATACTTTTTTTTAATTTTATTTTTAAAAAAGGAAACAAACTATCTTTTTTTATTTTGCATAAATAAAAACTCCCTCCCCTCCTCCTATTCCACCTCAGAGAGGGTGAGGCACATTGCTTTGGGGAAGGTCCAAGACCCTCCCTACTACTTCTAGGCCCAGCAAGTTGTCTACCAGCTGGAGACTTTCAATGTCACTACCACGAGTGGAGGGTGTGGGGTTAGGATGGCCGAAGGGCATAGACAACAGAAAAGACCCCGCCCAGGGCCCGTGCATTGCCTTCCCCTTACACCTCTTGACTACTTACACATTCCAGGCAACACTTTGCATTCTCTAACCGCCTCCATCCAGCACAAGAAACACAGATATCCCTACACAGACATCTGCTTTTCATACATTACATCCCATGATGTACATTCCTTTTCATGATATAAAAGAATGCTTTTAAATAGCCCCTGTCTTCCTCTCAATGAAAATCAAACATTAAAAATCTAAAAGGATCCAGACAGAGAACAGACAATAGCAGGGTAGGAACCAAAATGGCCTCAGGGCTCTGAAACTTTACACAATTCCCTGAAAAACAAACTCATCTGGACAGTCTTTCTGGGAGGAGGATGTGAGATGAGTAACAGAAGTTGCTCCTTAAAGGCCAAGGGTAAGGTGGTGCCAGGCACATCTACTTCCTTAGAAACAGCAGCGAGTTCTCTGCCTTTTGCTCCTCCATTGTTTCTCTTCTATTAAAATTCACTGTCTTTTGCTGAACAGTTTATGCTTTCCATTAAAGCAATCCTTTAAAGGTCAGAGGACACAAAGTTTACCAAGACACATCTGGACACACTCCCGCCTGCTGTTGCTCAGAGCCAATCAGTTCTATGCCCCTTTTAATAGCTGGCTGTTTTTCTTAATTCTGAATGAAATGCCTAACTGCTGTTTCCTAGACTCTTCCATTTTTGACTCCACCTTTACATTTTTACAGCATGGGAAGAGATACTGCAGCTCTGTCCACTCACAGGTCTCTATCCACAAGTCTTTCCCTTTAATTTTCAACATATTTTTGCTACCATTTTGGCTAAGTCAACATAATTTATAATGAATCAGAGTACATCTATAATTTGCCTTACTTTCTTCATTAATTTGCTATATCTTTCTTTTCATCAATTGTCCTATTGTCCTTTCCTCTGGTTTTCTTTGTATCTAACTATGCTATGCATATTATCAGTGTATAATTCCTTTCAAAGTCTGGAAGAGTCACAGGGCCAGCTATGGAGTAGAGCTCAAAGATGGTGCACTTTTCTCTAGCGTGCCTGAGGCCCCCTTCTAAGCTAAACATGGCAGACAAACCCACTCCATACCAACTCCTTAGTAACACACCCCTACTGCCAGGCCCTTTCCCTGCCTATTTCTGAGCAGCTGCTATCTAATTCACCTTAGTGGTCCTCTTCCCCAGGGATTTCCCTACTGTGGGAATTCTACCTCCCTGGAGAAACAATTTCCTGGATTTTGCATCTTTCTCCTTTCTCATCCTGAAGCAGGATATTGTTTAGCAACTCCCTAAGAAAGTATGTAAAGCTAGTGAATACATTCTAACACACCACATGCTGTAGAATGGGTATATTGTATATTGTACACACACTTGAGTAATAGTTAACTGATCATAAGATTCTGGACTCCTCCCTCAGACCAAGCTTTTATGACTTTTTCATCTTCAGTGTTCTGAAATCTTCTGATGAGAAGGTAGCTATCTCCTCCTTCCCCCAGCAGTGGGTTTCCTTGTTAGGAGTCCTTGTTACTCAGTTATCCTTAACTGAGCCCATTTTCTTCTTCACCTACTGCCCCCCATCTCTGCCTTTTTAATTTTACTAGTTGCTGCTGCTTAAGCTTTATTTTTCAGCTTGTCTGGTATTTGAAAATAACTTTTTTTAATAAAAATATTTATTTATTATGTATACAATATTATGTCTGCGTGTATGCCTGCTGGCCAGAAGAGGTTGCCAGACCTCATTACAGATGGTTGTGAACCACCATGTGGTAGCTGGGAATTGAACTCAGGACCTTTGGAAGAGCAGGCAATGCTCTTAACTTCTGAGCCATCTCTCCAGCCCTGAAAATAACTCTTACACTTGAGTTTCAGACCTCTTTCTTGTTCTCTTCCTGCTCATTTTTAAATTGTGCTTTGTTCTCCATTAATGGATATGAATTCTTTTCAAGTTGCATCAGCTGGAGTTTAGTTTTGTGGGGTTCCTTTGAAAACCCACATATTTCTGTTTTCTTTGATTTCTGTTTGTTTTGGCCACTAATTATTTTCTAAGAAGTGTCTCTGGTTGTTGTAATAGAGAAAGAAAAGCATGCAGGCATAGGGCACATGCCTACAGTCCCTGTTACTCAGGAGGCTGAGGCAGGATTTTAAGGGCAGATGTCTGAGTTCTTAAGAACACATGGAACAGTTAGACTGTGGCCGCATGTTAAATGTCCTAATAAGAGCAAATATTTCTAAGGTTCTTCCCTACTTTACTGCCCCATCCCCATTTTCTCCTTTGTTACACATGAAAACACCAGTGCCCCTGAAGGATGCTATACAGTTCCAGAGAGGTTTCATATGCCCTGCTTTTCCAAGTAGGCACCATATGAGGTGTAGGACAGGTGAACTAGAAACAAGCTCAATAAACTCAGCTGCTCTTTGGCTCATCAGAAAATAGAAATTTGTAATATGATGAAATATTAATCAGTAATATAAAATTATCTTAAAAAAAAAAACAGTTTCACTGGCAGTGGTAACACATGCCTTTAATTCCAGCACTCAGGAGGTAGAGGTCAGTCTGGTCTACAAAGCCAGTTCCTGGAAAGCCAGAGCTAAACAGTAAACTCCTGTCTTGAAAAACAAAACAAAACAAAAGCAAAAACAAAAAGTTTCAAAGGCTTACAAGGATTCTTATGAAAAGGCAAATGACAAGAATTTAGATCAAAGTAACATGGTGTTGGACAGCACACAGGCAGCAGCACTGGCCGCAGAGATGACTTGATTTCTTCTTGTGTCTGAATGGCAAGGCTTTTCCAGGCACAGAGTTGATACCTCACACCACAGAACAGTGTTAAGAGTTTCCATCCCCCTGGGGGGCTGGAGAGATGGCTCAGTGGTTAAGAGCATTGCCTGCTCTTCCAAAGGTCCTGAGTTCAATTCCCAGCAACCACATGGTGGCTCACAACCATCTGTAATGAGGTCTGGTGCCCTCTTCTGGCCTGCAGGCATACACGTAGAAATTGTATACATAATTAATAAATAAACAAATAAATAAATATTAAAAAAAAAAAAGAGTTTCCATCCCCATCCGGGAACCATCTGCATATGGTGCAGTTAATGACGTACTTTTAGGAAAAGACTGCCATTACTTACTTTAATAATGAACTGACATTATGTGAACTTACCCTAAATAAAAGATGTGTCTCATAAGGATTCTTGTGGTAAATTCCTCTGGGTGAAGTTCACTCTGT